AAATATTTTTTCCCTTTAATATATGAGTAGAATAGTAAGGCCGGTTCTAACCCAGAAGTGCTGAGGAGGAGGCGGGGAAGCGGGGAACTCAGGGCGCGGGGAATGACGTCGCGCGGGGAAAGGGAACTCATAGTGGGACGTCACGCAAGATGGCGACCGTGACGTCACGCATACGTCACGAGAAAAAAAATGTATTAGGATGTAGGTAAACTCGAACCCGGGCCCTCGCGGTTACTACCCATGCCCCAAAGCTCCTAGACCACCGTCGCCTGTTGCTATTAGCCGTCTAGTAAAAGTTCTTAGAGTGGGCATGATGACGTCACGAGAGAAAAAACTGTCGGGATGCTGCTAGACTTGAACCTGGGCCCTCGCGGTTACTATCCAATGCTCCAAAAGCTCCTAGACCACCGTCGCCTGTTGCTATTAGACGTCTAGTAAAGGTTCTTAGAGTGGGCATGATGACGTCACGAGAGAAAAAACTGTCGGGATGCTGCTAAGACTCGAATCTGGGCCCTCGTGGTTACTACCCAATGTTCCAAAGCTCCCAGACCACCGTCGTTTGTTGCTAGTAGATGTCTAGTGAAGGTTCTTAGAGTGTTATCATGACGTCACGAAAGGAAAAATAAGTCGAAACTAGGTCAGACTCAAACCCCAGGCCCTTCGTTTACTGCGCCACATCGAACGTCTATCGGACATCTCTCCAACGTCTCTCGAACGTCTATTAAACGTCTCACGAACGTCTATCGAACGTCTTTCGAACGTCTATCGAACATCTCTCGAACGTCTAATAAGCATCATACCGCAAATAAAAAACTGTATTTTTATCAAACACAATTATCATATAAATCGTAAGAGGTGAAAGGGGATAAGCGTGTTGGAAGAAACATCTGTACATTTGAAATAATGTTTTTATTAAGCGTCGTACAATTTTTGACACGTCCGGGAGAGAAATGCCGTTTATAGCACTTTGTTTCGTATATTATTCTTTTCTCGTACATATTTTCTGATGTTAGTTGAGTTTGCGCACTATGTCGGTTAGCGGGCTGTATTCAACTACACGATCATGCAGGATGAGACAATACGCGGTAGTATTCGCCGGTATATTCTCCTTACACTCAAATTCTATCCGCACATCCACAGTGGTACTCTTGAGGGACTCATATTGACGCGAACATTCGATCACCACGAAAGGACCTAGCCGCAGAAAGTCGGCAGTTGTTAACCATACTTCAGCACTGTCGCATCCATAATACGGTTTACGAAAACGTTTATACATATCGTAAAGTATTGCGTATTTATTTTTTGCAAAGTCCAAATTCATGTCATCGTACGGATAACACTCCGAATTCAGATAGAGCTTGGCGTTGATCAATTTGCAGTCATCGAACAAGTTATATTTTCTGACATGACATTCGTCCGGCCAGTCCGCAACGCAAAGATAACGTATCATTTCTCTAAATTAGTAACAGTTTTGACGGTCCACTGGTGTTTGGTTACGTGCTTTGCAGTAGAGGAAATTCATACAGATCCCATGAGCGGAAACTCATACTCAAATATTGTCCGTTCTTCAAAGTTTTCAGCATGGAAAGTTTATTGATATCGTTCAAAATTACGTGAGGCATTCGCCATTGTATCTTGAATAGCTCAATCTTAGGATTCAGCGCTGAAGATCCTAGTAGACTGTTGTTGTCGCTGCGCGATCGTAATAGAATCAATTCGTGACGCGCGTTAATCACTATACGCTTGTAGTCTTCACAAAATCCTAGCAACACGCTGAGTGGTACGCAAAAGTTGAAGTACCGGTTCGGCGAAATAGTGTCAGTCGTATCCCACGCGGCATTTTTCATGACAGCATTTTCGTCCGAAGATATCGATACATAGTTTTTGAGCGTTGAAGTTATTTCCACGATTCTGTTACGACCAATCTCCACACCATCCAGTTCATAACGAATCTCATCAAACATGAGTGCAACGCAATTATATCCCAACGTTACAGTTACACCATCGATTGCAATCTGTTTCATCACCTTCCCCTCGACATAGAGATAACTCTCGCATGGCAATATATATAAATCCTGCTGCTGTATCGGTATTCGTATCTCGTCGCTATATCCAAATGTTGTGTTAGCGTATGGATTGTACATATGTGTCTCAATCTTGACGATGCGGTCGTTAAAGACCGGTTCACTTTCAATGTTCAAAATGTCAATCATCTTTCTCAATCGTTTCGTACGATGTATCCCAGAGATTTCAAAAATTCAACGTTAAACGCGCTGAGTTTCTTTCGAACGAGGGATTTTGTACTGTTAATCGCGCGTCATGTAAAAAATATATTTCCCGCTTGTTTCTCCTGTTCCATTTGATTCACCACAAGCATTTCATAGATTACGTTTATTATCGTCGCCGTCGTACATACAATCTAATAGTAATCTCTTCTCCACGAAAATCGAGCGATTGCCCTTCTTGATCGACGACACGTACCGTTAAATCTATAATGCTCCGTGTGATGATTGGAAGTTAAATAACATGTGCCGTCGTTTCCGATATCTTATATTCTGGCACTTTAGGCGAGAATTCAGGTATCGTATGTACACGCATACTGTTACTGTGCGCACCACTGACAACACTGCATTCTATACGAATGATATTCACGTTGATAATCTTAATCGGTGCGTCCGATCCGTACCATCGGTGCGGTTCTAATACGCGACTCAATGAGAATCCTAAAAGCGAGCCAATGTTGTTTGGTTTGCTAAAATTTATCCTATAAGCATATTTTATTTCACTCCTCATCGTATTATTATTGGCACGACTTATTATAGGATATTCATTATCGTCATCTCTATATGGGTTATTTTCGGAACGCACTGTTTTTTGAGAATGTTAAATTGCACGTTTTAGATATTCGTGTATGACGCGCAATTCGTACGATCCTTCAGGAATCATAATTTCTTCGTCGTTAGCATCATAGTAAAATTTATTATTCGATGAATTTACATTTGGTATCGTATTATATGTTTCAAAATCCGTTAATCTCATAATCACCGTCGCTCAAATCTATAGCGGGAAAATAGCTCACCGTAAGAATGCTACTGTTGCCAGTCAACGTAAGCGTTAACGACAAATTCGCAAAATGCCAAGCGAATACTGACTGCTGTTAGTAGAATGTCGTCATTTAAATCCATATCGATCCTCTACCGTTTGGAGAAACTATAAACACAAACATTCGAGAAACGTTTGATAGACATTTGATAGATGTTTGATAGACATTCGATAGACGTTCGAGAAACGTTCGATAGACGTTCGAAAGACGTTCGATAGACGTTCGTGAGACGTTCAATAGACGTTCGATAGACGTTTAATAGACGTTCGATAGACGTTCGATATGGCGCAGTAAAAGAAGGGTCTGGGGTTTGAGTCTGACCTAGTTTCGACTCATTTTTTCTCTCATGACGTCATGATGCACACTCTAAGAACCTTCACTAGACATCTATTAGCAACAAATAACGGTGGTCTAGGAGTGTTGCGTTAATGTTTGCAACGAGATTTATAAGATTATAAAGGGTGGAACTACCGAAAATAAAAGAAAATTTGAATATATCAAATACAGTGTCGTTTAATGGATATATATTCTTTGAGTAAAACCACTAAATTGAGGAGATCTTTCCGGTTCGAGGTTTCAACCAACACTACTCTCCCCCATACTCAAGTCACAGTTGTTTTCGCCAGGAAGGTTCCAGACGTCGGAATCGCTTCTGATTGGATGAGAGAACCGCGTGATTGCTCGGGCCCACACTTTTGGATAAGTGGGGAACATTCCCGTGGTGGGAAAGAGCCGCGCTTGGGGCTCGAGATAGACAGGCGCTGAAAGTCCTTTGACTTTCAGTAGGAGTCAGGCTAGGGACTCGAATGATGATTGATAGAAATATGGTACAAGATTTTTGAACCATATAAAGAGAAGAGTTACGGGCTCAAACTGCAAAGATTCCGAAAGTGATTTAACTTTCAGAAGGAGTCACGCTAGGGACTCGAGCCATAAAGGCTCCGACAATGGAAAAGTTGTCGATCGATCCCGCTTTGGGGAGAAGGGTTAAGATGGTCATTCCGTTATAAATTTCTTATACAATTTCGAGTCCTGTTGATTTGAAGCTCTCGGGTTCAAAGGGTTATTCGCTCATTTCTAAACAAGGAGCTTTGGAGCATTGGGTAGTAACCGCGAGGGCCCGGGTTCGAGTCTACCTACATCCCAATACATTTTTTCTCGTGACGTATGCGTGACATCCCACCATGAGTTCCCCTTAGGTCGATAATTATTGGTTTGCAACTTTCTTATTTGATTCGCTGGCTTTTATTTCTTTTAGCATCCGGATATGTATGTTTTATTATATATGAGAATAATTTATAACAATGTATATAAGATAATTTATAACAATGTGTATAAGAGAAGAAAGTGGAGAAGAAGGAGAAGGAGTAGAAGAAGAAGAGAAAGAGGAGGAAGGAATATATTTAATCAGGTACTTATTAAAATATGTTGTTCACTTAACTTTTAATTACAATTGTTCACGTATATAACTTTCATGATTATTTTGATATGTTCTATCAGTATGCTATGACTACCCAGACAGCACAGGATATCCTATGGACATCCGTTTTATGTCCATTTCTGGTCGGGATATCCATGGACTTTTATAAGATGTCCATAGGATATACATTTATGGACATTCGAGGGATGTCCTCAATTGGACAAGTTTGTATGCTATCCTTATGTTAAGAGTCCATATACACTGCAAATGCTGCGATGACTAATCAGGAATCAGGTACAGCTTGGGTTCCGGCGCGCTTGGCTTCTTACTGATTACCATAATATTTGCCACGTATGTAGGTCTTAACATTATTTGTACAACATATTAATTAGCTGCAGTGATGCGCTTAGGTTCGATTATTGGTACATGCGCAGTACCAGTAATACGCGCATCCTGTGCAGGAGCCATTACTGATCTCTTTCCGCCTGCTTTGACCGAGTCATCCTAGGATCACACATTGATCAATTCTTATCCGAGGTAATCCTTTTTCTTTTCCAACGTACATAAAATCGTATTGTACCGTTCGCTTCATATGATTATAACGATATTAACACCATATTTATTTATCGTACATAAGCAAGGCATTAAAAAACAAATATTCTTCCAAGAATAATATACTGTAACATGTAAAAAATTAAAAATAGTATTTTAATTGCGTTTTTATAACATATCTTATGCTTAGCAAGAGAGCGACGCAGATGATGGTATAAAGTGTAATATTTCTGACTGAATTGTTACATTGTATCACGCCATAATTGAGGTTAGTTTCAGTTATACAGAATACGTAGTAAACATAATTCCTGTTGAAACATATAGTTGATCCAACATTGCATTAACTATACATTTCAGGTTGGATTTATATTTGCTATGCATCTTACTTAAGTAACATGAATTTCAATTATAGCGTTAGATAATTTAACCGTTCAATCAAAAATATTTACTATCTGCTTTTTTGTTGAACAACATTAAATATATATTTAATATATCATTAAAATGTAATATATCAATAAAATTAAAATGTATTTTTAAATATCTTTTTTTATGATAATATATAATTTATTGCAAGATTTTTATTTCTATATAATTTCTTGCCTATGTATGAAACAGTGATTATAAAATAGAGTAAATATGAATAAAAATAATGAAGTATATATAAAAATAACTTTTAACATTTAACGCAGGTACAAAGTACCGCAAGTAAGTTACGCAGAGTAACGCAGGTACAAATTGCCAACACTAGATGAGAGTATTTAGTATACGGATATATAAGTGACTAAACCAAGTGACCAAACCTCCGATCACTGTGTTCAGGGAGTTTATCATTGTCAAGTTAATCTGTAAGTAAAAATTGCAAAACCTCATTTCTTGATTCTTGCAAAATGAATTACTTATAACCTATTAATTCCTATATTTTATTTCATTCTTGCTGGAACTAAATTGTTCATCATATTATTGATAAAAAATGATTGGGCACAATAATGCACAACTTCTTTTAATGAACTTGTTTCTTTTTTCCACGAAAGTTTTCAATTATATCATATACAAGATACGATTTTCTTTTTATAACTTGTACCTGAATTGTATATATTTATGCTGTTTTCATATATAATACACTTTTTTACAGTGTTTCTTATATCAAAAGATATACTCCATATAAATCTCTAAATCGCATAAGAAAGATTCTACTAGTTAAATGTAAATTTGGAAACTACATTCTTGTAATATGCCAAATAGATCATTTAAACGCAGAAGCATATATAGAAAGGCAACGGAAAAAGCAAATTTGGCTTTAGCTTTAAGTAATTATATGGAAGAAAAGTCTGCCAATGCAATTAATATTGCAAACAATTGTGATTTACATACTGCAACATCAAGTTGTACTAATACTTATGTAAATATGTTGACTGTACAACAAAATTCACCTATCAGTGTGTGTGACAACGAGTTTTTATTGACATCTGACACTGAAATATTTAAAGAAGGAATGTCAAACGTTTCTATTTTAAATGATTTATCTGTTAATTTAAACGAAAATAATAATCTAAACAACGATATACATAATATTGAGCCTACAAATATTAGTTTACGAATCAGAGAATGGGCAATGTTACATAACATTGAGCACTTCGCTATTAATAATTTATTATCTATTTTAAAACCCGATCATCCAGAGCTTCCTTTGGATGCTAGAACCTTATTGAGGACCCCGAAACAAATTAATGTTAAATATGTAGACCCTGGCATATACTATCATTTTGGAATAGAACACTGCGTAATAAATCTACTATTACGAAACAGTAATAGTATTACCTCAAATTGCATTGAACTTTTAATCAATATAGATGGTTTACCGATAGCTAAGAGTTCCAGTAGTCAGCTTTATCCTATATTGTGCTCTATTTTTAGTATTTCACATGTAGAAATTATTGGAGTGTATCATGGAAATGCAAAACCAAAAGATGCAAATGTTTTTTTAACAGATTTAGTAAATGACATTAATAATGCAGTCTGTAACAATATATATTACAATACAAAAAAATATTTCATAAAAGTGAAAGCCTTTATTTGCGATGCACCTGCAAAATCATTTATCACTTCTATTAAGGGTCATTCAGGATATTATTTATGTACAAAATGCAATGAACCAGGTGAATTTATAAATAACCGCATCTGTTTTCCCAATATTAATAACTTAACTTTGCGTTCTGACAATGAATTTAGACGTAAGCATCAGGAAGAACATCATATAGGTACTACAATATTAGAGTCTATTGTTGATTTTGACATGATACACTGCTTTCCACTAGATTATATGCATGTTATTTGTCTCGGGGTTGTAAAAAAATTACTTATGTTGTGGGTATACGGAAATCCATCAAGAAAACTGTCATTCAATCAAATATCAAATATTTCACAGTCCTTACTGAATGTAGCATGTAATATAACTACAGATTTCAATCGTAAACCTCGTAGTCTTGATGAAGTTAAACGGTGGAAGGCTACTGAATTTAGACAATTTCTTTTATATTCAGGCTCAATAGTTCTTAAATCTGTTATTAGTCATGACAGATATATGAATTTTCTATCTCTACACGTAGCTACTTCCATCTTATGCAAATCAAAATATAAGAAGTATTTAAATTATGCGAAATCTCTGATGTACTATTTTGACATTTATAGTTTTTTACGGTAGGGATCAAGTCTCTCATAACGTACATAATTTGTTACATATTTGTGATGATGTTGCAAGATTTGGGGCATTAGATCAGTTTAGTGCATTTAAATTTTAAAATTATTTACAATTATTAAAGAAATTATTAAGGAAACTCGAGAAACCATTGCAACAAATAATTCGCCGTAAATATGAATTAAATAATGTTCCGTTACATGATACTCATTTGCATTCTTTGCCAACTCTAAAAAAACTACATCACTTGGGACCAATAATTAATAACATTTCCTTTATTGTGCAATATAAAGAAGTACAGTTAAATACATTTGTATTAAAAACAACCGAACCGGACAATTGTTGTTACACAGTCAATAATAAAGTAATAAATGTAAAAAATATATTATCTACCACAACTGGTATATTACTAATAGCTCAAGAATTTTTATCGCTTGAAGACTTTTATATAAAACCTTGCAAATTATCATTTTTGGGTATATATTCTGCTAAAAATCTAGGACCACTTACATTATGGCGACTCGATCAAATATGTAACAAATGTGTGAAATTTGATTTCCAAAATATACATATAATTTTTCCATTGTATGCTACATTTAAACTCTGAAATTAATACTTTTTAATATATTATTTATGTGTTGACTTTATCAATTACTTCTTACAAAACGTCTGTAAATATTGCAATGCAATAATTTGTTTTTTCCGTTGCCTTCTTTTTCAGACAATAATTTCTTTTACATCTTCTTGTACAATAATATTTAATTGTTTATTTCATTAATACTCTTATACAATTTGAGAATACATTTGTGAGTATATTTTCCATTGAAGAAGAAATGGCGAAAACATGGACAGTTGTTAGATTCGAAGACGAAGATGTTGTAGAAGCAGTTCCAACAAAGTGGATTGCTAATGGCATATGTTATTGGCCAACGTGTACAACAGAAAAGGTGTTAAAAGCTGTAAAAGATCATGTTGATTTTGATACTTCATGGAATAGGTATAAAGTATATGTCTTCAAAAATAGTACCTCAGGTAAGGAACGGAACATATTATAGCTATATTATATAACAGATTTCTTACAGTATATAATGAAAGTGGCGGCACACGGTGTTTCTTTGCTGCATTGCCTATTAGATGGAAATAATGCGTTTTACTCGTTGCATTTCCGAAGATGGATAGAAATACATTAATTAGGTTGCGATATTTTTATCCAGCAAGTAATTCCGCATGAAAACAATCACTATGTGCCGTCGGCTTCAAACATTATTCCAACAATATTACGAAAATAATATTTAATATTATGTATTACATATTATATTTATATTAGAAAATTTTTATGTGAAGTGAACTTTTCAAAATTGTAATTCTTTTGTTTTAGAAAGTTATTACGCTTGCAGACTAAAAGCGAAAAAAGCTGAAGATACTTCAGATTTAAATTCTGATTGTCCTACAAAACGAATAATGAAGAAAAATCGTTATTATGACATTAGCTTAATTATGACGTTAGCTCCGATTCGGATAATGATGCAAATGATAACACGTTACCATCTCCACCAGGTAAGATTTGTTGTCTTTCCTTGTACACATTGCTTCGTGCATGTTACTGTTTACACAATAATTAAAAAAACAATTTTTTCTTTTTTTTTATATTGCTTTTGTATAATTAAATTATGTGAAAAGTAAGATAATAAGACGCACGTATTTATATATTTTTCAAAATTAAATATATAAAGAAATATACGTTTCAGATGTACAAGATTATTCTGATACAGAAATCCAAACATCAAGTAAGTTTGAATTTATAATTTCATAATATGGCTTATAATGTATAAGCTAATTATTAATATTTGTATAATTATCTTATTAATATCTTAATAATCTCTTTATTTTCCACAAGAAATTGGCAAAAGTGGAAAAGAAACAACATTTGTTTACAAAATAAAAGCTGCACAAAATCCAACTCAAAAAAAGTACTTTTTCTATAAGCATTTTATTTTATAAATGTTTGTGATAATTTATACAATCACCCATACAGCACAAATGTTCAAAATTGGATATACATCTTACAAGGTCTTGAAGGCATCCACTTGAAAAATATCATAAGGACGACTAAAAGACCTGTAATGTCCCGATTTCAAACATTATGTTGTTTAAGGAGATAGCGGAGTGATATCAAGTAACCATATAATTACATCTCTAAAACGTCTGATGTTTTCAAATGACATTATTAGACCGTAGCATTTATCTGTCCTTTTTGTATCATTTATCTGCTGACAAAATTATGACGTCAAAATGATATCACTCTGCTGTCTGAGTACAGTTCAGACATAATTATAGACTTGCATATTATATTAAATGTGTAATATGTATTTCAGATATAAAACATGACTCTAATAATAACTTACCTACATCTTCTGTAAAAAGAAAGTGTTATAATAAAGAAAACCGTAGACCATTAGGTAACTTTTTGTTTACATAACTGAAATATGTATCAACGATCATTGCATTAATATTAATTAATCTTTTAGAAATGTGCCGAAATAAAAAACGAAACATAAATGTTAGAAAAACATATTACGATTCTTCATATGACAACGTACCTGGACCATCGAATACTGAATCATATACTTCTAATATAGAACAAAAAAATTCCGATAAAGGTACGTGTTTGTGTCGTAATTTTATATATATTTCAATAAGTAGGATATTAAGGTTCCTCGGTATTAGCATCGTCCATCTCTTTCTAATGACATCAGAAGCGAGAAAACGCATGCTAAAAATTCTTGCGTTACATAGCTAAATGAAAAGATATTCTCAAAAAATAGCACTCGGAATGACTTCAGCATACTTGTAAAAAATTCCGGGTGCTCATCTTTTCCTTGGACAGTCAATAAATAACCATAAAATTAACGTGATAAAATAAGATAATATATAGGTTAGAAAAGAAAGTTGCATGTCACGTTAATTTTATGGTTATTTATTGACTGTCCAAGGAAAAGATGAGTACCCGGAATTTTTTACACGTATGCTGAAGTGATTCCGAGTGCTGTTTTTTGAGAATATCTTTTTATTTAGCTATGTAACGCAAGAATTTTTAGCATGTGTTTTCTCGCTTCTGACGTCATTAGAAAGAGACGGACGATGCCAGTACCGAGGAGTCTTAAGCATTAATATTGTTACGTCCTAGAGGAGGAACGCAACCCTTTCGTTCGCGAGTAAGGCGAACCTCGTTCGTACACGCGTGTCAGTGAACGGGTCAGGGACCCGACGGGTCCCTTTACTCGGGGACCGACGTACGAGTGGTCCGTTTTTCGGTCAGGGACGCGAATCCCTTTACCGGGGATAGGACCATGAGTTGACTGTTGGAAGGGTATATGTGATTTTGAAATTAATTGGAAAAAGAATGAAATATAAACAGATTTATTAAAATAACAAAATGAATTACGGCGCGGTTTAATAGAGTTGAGGAATGACTGTGTATGTGTATGTGTGTATGTATGAGAAGTGAAAGAAGGAGGAAATAATAAAAAAAAGGTAGGAATATGAGTAAAGAATTAGTCGGGTGAGGGGGAGCGTGAGTGGTCGGGTGAATTTAAGGGAGTGGATAGTTCGGAGAAGGAAACTGATGAATAAGATATCGAAGGGGTTGAAGGCGGGGACGCGTGTGTAGGAAAAGAAGGCGGAGTATCAGGGGAAAAACGAGGAAGGAGGTAAGGGGATAGGAGTGTAGGATCCGGGTGATAATCAATTCCTAACGCTATATTAACTATGGCTCGGAGGTAGTGGATCTGGGACGTAAGTTCATCTGGATCGCTAATATCAAAAGCTTCCTCGAACGTTCGGAAAACGTGGTGGAGGGTTATCCCTATGTTGTTATAATGACTCACTAAAACGGATTTCAATAATATGGGGAATTAATAAGATGGTGATAGAAAAGGTAGAAGCAAAAAAAAACAGAACTTACTGCTGACTCCTATTATCCTGAAGGTGAGCAAAAATAAAATTGATGTTTGGTAGCTCCTGCTCGATAGGTCACGTTGTGCTCGTCCACTCCCTTCCAATTGTCCAATTATGGCACAATAGCAGTGATTCAAACTTTTTATTTTTTTTTTTTGGTCCCAAAAATAAAAAAATAAGACAGAGGACGTAAAAGAATATGTAGTACCGAAACAAAACCGAAGACGAATTTGAGTCTAAGGACGTGTTTTTACAAGTCTGATTTTTGAAACTAGAATCTATGTGAATCTGTTCTTTCTGTCTCTCAGAATAGAAGTAACGGTAGAAGTTGAAGTAGAAGTGTCGCGGAGGCGGATTACCGCGGTTTTTATAGTGATAATCGGAGGCAGAAACTATCAGGGTGGGTAGAGAGATGGCCTTTGAGGAAGAGGTGAATTGGTCTTAGTGGGAAAGAGTCTCAGCCATTAGCAAAGTTAAAAGACATCGTGGGAGGAGACAGTTAGTTTTTGGAGATATGAATATGGAAGGGCTAAAGGGTGGAGCGTGGGTGTCTCATAGTTTTAGGTGGATATATGATTGGCTGAATGAATTAGGCGCGACAAGCGTGGAGGTGGTGGATTCTTGAGATAGAGAAATGTATACAAGTGGCCGGCTGGAAAAATCAAAATGCCGTAAATCAAAGGCTGGGATCAAATTTTACGACTATCAGTGAAGTAGGCTTTGTTGGTTGACTGATAGGGCACATATGGTTTTGGATTGGGAAGATGTAAGTTTCAAGTTTTAGAGCAGGAATGCTCTGAGTTGCTTTGTTTCACTGAAGGTTTGTTAGCGCGGAGTTTCAAATTTTTATAGCTGGGACGACGGACACACTTGGCGAACACTATCCAGATATAAACTTTAAACGAAGACGTAGATTTTTACAACAGGGCACTGTTTCATATGGAATTTTCCCGAATCACCTTTCATTTGGCGCGACGGCTGTTCGCCAGATGGGTCTGTTTCCTAATTTATATTTATATATGTATATATTCCTATTATAGTTATATTAGGAGAATATAAATCCGCGAGAAGAAAGAATTTTTACTAATTAAATCTACAGGACGTAACACCCCCTGCCTTAGACAAATGTTGGGGCCACCAACATTTGCCTACGTAGTATACTGTTAAAATCGTATTAATTGTGTGTAATTGAGTGTAGATTGTAATATAGTCGATTCGATTTTCGCAATTAAAATACTCATTCGTAGCTGATATGGTCCTTGAGTTTTTACAGATGTGTTGTTTTATTGCCAGGCAGCGCAAGGTGGCAGGCTTCGGATCCTCTTTCCTTTTTAGTCAGGTAGTTCGTGTTTCGGGTTGCAGTATGGTTATCCTGTTTTGCGGTTAAAACCTGCTAGGTTGTCTGCTTAAATATGTTATAAAATAATCTGGAAAAAAAATACTTCGAGGGGATTGACGCAATTATTCGTAAATCATCTGATAAATATAATTAGAAAGAGCTTAATTATAATAATTCGTGTTTGTTTAGAAGGAGGAAAGAGAAGGCGACCACTAAAACCTCTTACCTCCTTTTTTTTTCTTCTATATATATATATAGTAATAATAATAATAGAGAGAAAAGGGAATGATATTGAAATTATAAATTGTTATAAAAATATTTTCCTCTTCTCTCCTTTTTTATTATATATATATATTTTTTTTGTTTTATATATAAATACTCTTTTCTTTTTTTTTTTTTTTTTTAGAAAGAAAATACCATTGAAATAGTATTTTATGAAGTAGAATATTATACAGGGAAAAAGGAAATTTATTGTTATAATTATTTATCTTTCCTTACTCTTTTCCTCCTCTTTCTTTTATATATATATATATATATATAGAAAAGTAAAATAAAATACGATATATATGTATATGAAGGTGTAAGAACATAAAATA